GGGATGGAAAATACATCAGGACAGCGTATATCAAGTTCATCGTCTCATAAAATTAATATCTAGGGCTGTAATTTTGATATTATCATATTGGATTAATTGCTAAGGGGCGTGAGAATATGTCAACGAGGAGAGAGTTTTTAAAAACAACTCCCTAAATATTAATGCAATGAGTCGAGGGACTTAATGAACTGTTAACATTGACGCAAAAACGACCCGCATGTTCGTTTGTGCGTACAATGTCTTCGCTTTACACTTCTAATGCCATGTGAAAATCGACGAACTCGAAATCGAAAACAAAAAAAAAACTGATCGGTGTAGCGTTTGGCCAAAGAAAATGCTCGCTGGCTCATTAAACTCACTTTATATTGAACATGCTTATTACGTAGGCCCGCTTAATGCGCCAAATCCCTTTAAACACGATGCACATTGTAACAGATTGTATGTCATTTCATGAATGTGCAATGCGAATAGCAAAAAAAAAAAAAAAAAAAAAAAAAAAAAAAAAAATTAACAAGGAAAAAATATACGATTATTCCTACTTCAACTTATGGTTGAAAGTGTCAATGATATTCGTTTATGCTTAAAACGATTCAATTAATAAAAAATCCATCTTGAGCTGGTTTTTTTCAGGTTTTCTACGACGCTCGTAATATGTACTTTTTGAGAATTGAAATATATAGCTAGCTTTCTTGAGTTGTTTACATAAATGCAGCCTTGTRTCTAGATGTGTTATTAATTAAACGAGATTTATTGAAACAAATTTACATAAAAGGACGCAATATATAAAGAAACATTGCCATTCAGATTTAGAAAAAAGTATCCTCATAATTCCGATATGTTTTCCTTTAGTTGTGTTTTTGCACTTTTTTAGGAGTTCTTTCTTTGAGATGAGTTTTGTGGCGTATACTTGACTGTTTGTCTAAAAACAAAGCCAACATTTGATATCACCTTAGCAATGATATCAGGCTGTATGTTTTCAWGTTCAAAATTGACTCCCACAGACATGGGCAGTTTGTATATATAGAGATATTATCTTGTCAGTTGACTTCAAAACGATCAAACTCCGGCATATGGAGTTTTCTAGGGTGCAAAAATGAACTATATTGCGACTAGTTAGGTACTTATATTTTGAAAAATCGCACAAATTTGGCTGCTCTTCAAAGCATGTCTTCTTTGTATAGTCTAGAGTAACGTTTTTAGGTATAAATTTTCAGTTTTTATACTTTATTTAGAGTCATTTTAAATTTCTCACTTTTTGTTTGTCTTAAATAGAAACTAATAGAGCAAGTTCTTTCTGTGAAACCTTTCTTTTAGAAAATCTTCAAAAAGCAGCTCAAAACAGATATCCTTGCTGATACAATTAAAAWATATCAATGATTATTTTAAAAAAASATGGAAATTATAGATCAAAAATAATTGAAAATWTATCAAGTTAAACACAATAAAATAGCTAATAATCCACTCGACGTACCTATATCATTGATATTCTTAATGTTCGCCGACGATTTCAGGCCAAGTTACGCATTTTTCTGTGATTAAATTTCGCGGTGGTTCTGTTCCAGTCTGAACATGGACAACCTGACTAGTAATTATGACACTCAAATATTACACCAATTTTAAGCTTTCTAAATCAACAGTAACCATGACAACSTTACAGGTGTGAAAAGGGCTCGCAATATGAGTTTCTTCTCACCAATGTTGTTGAAAAACAAATTGAAATCTTAATTAAATTGGGTAATGTTGTATATATTGTTGTMCTGGGTTGACGCACATGGATTTTGACGATTTCAGGACKTATTCTGTTTCCTATTTTAAACTTGATCGCTTTCAATTTACATATCTGATTCTTTTTACTCTGGAATATTTGCCTTTTTAGCGATGTAGGAAAGTAAACAATATTTYATGGGTCTATGTACCGATTTAAATTGGAGGGAATTAAAAACGAGCAGGGTAATTAGCTCAGAGGGAAGCAAGGTTGAAATTYTTCTATAAAAAACCTASTATATCTGTAAAAACCTGGATGATTTAAAGCTAAAAATCCCTGCCAATKGCATCCACAATATTATTTCAATTAMCAAAGTTTCATTAAAAAGCTTTAGTATTATTAAGRGCTGAGCAATTTCGCTATCTTATTCATTTTAATTAACTTCTGCTAGAATGATGAAAGTTTAATCAAAGGCCTTCTCCACACGCGGCCAGCCGGATATTTTTTGTATCTGCAATAAATTGTTTTTTTTTACGAATTCAGTTGTAACGATTGTGTTCACGTAACCGACCGTACCGGAACATATTTGACTAAAACGGTCTGGAACTTTAGTGTTTAGTGAAACTAACGTTTTGAATGTGAAWGTAGAAAGGTTTCCATCGGCCTAAGAAAACACACGGCGTGAGACAATCTCAATGCATGTGGATCAGGTCTATTTACTATAATGTATTCGTTTGTTTTCAAAAAAGAAAACGAAAAAGAAAGTTAAAGAGAACGGAAATAACAATAACAACATCATAAATCAACAGTAACAATAGCAACAGCGAACATAACAAACAATTCAATAACGAAACATACCAAAAAAGGCAATAATTCACGAGAACAAGTCGAGAGACGTCTTTTTCTTCGACAACCTGACTCTAGAACGGGTTGTTGGCATGTTTTTTTTTTCGTTATGAAACAGTTTTTTTTTAAATTAGTAGCCAAGAACTTATTTAACGACAGGTTTGTCGAGCTGATTAGCATTTTAAGGTGTCTACTAGGATTATCTTGTTCAAATTGTCTTCTYCTGATACCTGTGATCATACATAAGAGCGTTGTTCTTGATCAATTAAAAAGATCCGCGTTGTGTGTTTTTGAGAAAATAAGTTATTACTTATGAAACAGCAGATCGTGGAAAGGAACTATATGACTAAGTGTCGACTTTCACAAAGCATGATTGATTCCACTTAAACTACTTTCAATTAAGAAATCCAGCCTCTTATAATATACGATTAATCGTACGCTATATATAATACCTTAGACCAATGGACGGGGCAAATTAGAATACTGACTGGCTATATTCTACGAGAATGTCAGCATATATAGTCACTAGATGTTAGAAATCTTCATGAGGAAAACAGTTTAATTAATGTTTATGGATTTAGAGTGCCTACACTGTTACCATGAAATAAAAATTCTTGTTTTTAGAATAGTTTTCATAGACGCGTAAAATAAAGTGGAATATTAAACAAAGTTTAATAAAGTGTGAAAATATAAAGAAAAACATACGCGATAAGTACATACGCAAAATGTCCCGGATGTACGCGCGCGTCAAATAAAAACAACTTTCCCGCTCATTTTAACTTGTCGATTTAGCTAATCCATATAATATAAAAAATATTACACGTTGTCTTGAAGATATGAATTTTATATGAATTTTTTCGCTCGCTGCACTGACTCGTAAAATATTGCTTTCATCACTCGAAAATAAAATTCATATCTTCGCGCCATCGTGTAATGTCCTCTATAAATTACATTTCATGTACATAATGTAGCACGTTTGTATGTTTAGAGTGGGATGAGGAAATCTTGATCATATCACATTATACAAAACATTTACACTTAGTTTTCATATTTAAGTTTATTTTTTTTTATCGATTGATAAGAAACATGATGCGGTTTATGATTTTGCCTGAAAGTTGACCTCCACACAACCAATCCTGCGTCTGTTCGCTTCGTCGAAAACTTCAGCTTTCATGTAGTACTTTCCCTGATTTCAAAGAAATAAATTACTCAGTTTTACTTCTGTTTTATCATATATTAATATAAGTTGTCCTTACAGCCTTTTGCAAAAATTATGAGAATTGTCGAAATATCTAAATATCATAATATCGAGTGTATGATGGGTAATCCCGCGCAATGCCCTTAGTCCCTTGTCTTTGTAGTTTAGTTTTTTTTTTTGGCGACAGACTTATCCGTAGTTCTGAACATTTTCTCGATGTCAACAATGAATTATTCTAGCAAACCCGCGTGTTCCGGACAATATATGGATATGGATATTATGATATTTAGATATTTAGACAATTCTCATAATTTTTGCAAAAGGCTGTATTTTGCTTATGATTTAGAATATATGTAAAATACAGTCGAAAACATTCTTGAATTTGTTTTCATTTTAAACATTTCATATACTTATTTCTATATATTTTAGTATATTTTAAAAGCCGATATTAACTGGAAAACTTAATTAATTATGACGATTTATTAAGAATTGAATTTACAAGAACACGGTTTATTTGTTGGCCATTATAGGACTAAAACAGCTAGACAGAACTAGGTAAAGAAATGTACCGTTTATTGTGTACTTTTTAGACTTATAGCAAGGGTACTTCACCTTAAATATATTCCTACGGTAGAGAAATACAAAAACCAAAACACACAAACCTCAACTTGTAACTGCGCAGCAAAAAAAAATCATAAAGAGAATATTTTTATTCCTAAGTTTCTGATGTCCAAGTGTTAACTTTCACACTACAGTATCTTGTAGCGTTTGAGTTTATAATTTTATTGCAGTAAAAACTAAGGCTATGTTTGTATTTGGCTCTAAATCCTAAAATATGAAAGTCTAGTGACCTAGAAAGTTCGAGTTATTTTTTTGCAATGTACTTAGCATGCGTTTAAATGATGGATGATTCAACGTTTTCTTCTAAACCTTCAATTGTTTTATTTTTAGATCATTACCCATAAAATTCATAAGATAAAAGACCGGCAGCCAAGTCGGTTGAATGAATAATAGATACTTATGACCGGGAAATCCAAGATGACCCAATTAAGATGGCCGAAGTGACGGATATTGAAAACGAACAGGAGAATGACTAGGCATTTGATCCGTGAAACGCTAATTGTTAATGAGCAATAGAGTGAAGTCACCGAACCCGTGAAACATATAGCTTGACCATCAAAGTGCGATATTCATAAGAAAAAAGAATAAATCAAGGCCCTGTTTGCATGAGGTAGGGTGCCCCTAGGTGTAGAGCCAAACTCTTTTGTTTTCAATCCTCCAGGAAAAAACAAAGGTGTTAGCCCTATCACGTAGGGGCACCCAATCTCATGTAAACAGCGCCTACGTGCATTAAATGTAGAATACTTACACTGGTCAGGAACGACGGTAAATTGACTGATGGTATCACCATAGTTCTCTCTTTCAGGGTATACGATCCGCTGGGGGGTGGGCATTTCGGCACGTTAAGGTACGGTAACATCTGCTCGCATTTCAAGCCTTTGTACTCGCTGGATAAATAAGAATGAATGCATTGGTTTAACTCTTTAAAGTGCAAACAAAATCGCGTCCAAATTTATGCGCTTTTGCAGCAAACAAAACTTGAACACAAAAGAAAACAGTGGAATTAGAGCGTATTAAGGTAAATTAGTATGACATTTATTCACGTATTTTTTATAAGATACAAACACCATAAGTCATTGCTTAGTCTGAATAAGACGGCACAACGTTTGCCTACAACCATGCAACCTGAGGAAGTCATCATCTTTTCAACTTCGCTACAACTGTTGTAGAGATGTAAAACAATTGCTTAATAGCCCACAACAGTTGTAGCGATGTTGTAAGGATGAATTGCGCAGGTCGCATGTGATAGTTGTAGGAAAACGTTGTAGCGTCTAATAGTCCTTTTGTATGAAGCGACGAGATGGTCCATGACCAATAGTGGATTCAGTATCACTGACACCTTCTCTCGAGCTTCCCAGATACTCACCATGACCCAAAGCTACCCATGCATGGAACGCCAACATCAATCCAGCCTTTCTTGACGACCTTGAGTTTCAATGTATAAGTGCTTCCAACAGTTCTGTATGACTTCAGAGTTCCCGAGAATGTCACTTTGCGTCCTTTGCGAACTATGATGGGGTCTGGTTTGAAGTTCACAGAAGTGATTTGTACAGGAAGCCTACGATCTGAAAATGGTTCATTCGAAAGGATTAGATATTAATTTATTGAAAACCAAAGAGAAAAGAGAATAAACGTCTTAGAGAGAAAAATTGGATTCGCATAACCAGTAACACGAATATAAATAGCAGATTATTCAAGAAACTCTACGGAAAAGTTAGTTGGAAATGTTAAATTATCATTCAAATTGATCCAAAATTTGGTCAAACTGGGAAATATATTTATAGCACTGTTATCACTTATTTCTTGTTTGGCCAGGCTAGGGCCTTCTGGTATTCACTTATGTCGTTCGTAATTTAAATAGGATCTAAATGACTGGATAGTCAACCTCGGAGACTCCTGTTTCTTATAGCAAATGCTTGATCACATATTCTAGTTCCCAAGTCTCGTAATGCAATAAAGAGTTCTAATGATCTCATGGTAATGTGGAGATATTCAGGAGGAGCTGACGGGTATCTGTTCTTATATATCCCAGCCAGCTGCATGTAAGTCACAACTGGTTGCCAGCGAGAAATTCAGGAAAAAAGAACTCTCTTGGAGAGGAATACTTTCTAAGAATTTTTCCAGGAAAATAAAAATTTACTAACTAAAAAAATATAAGCGGGTTTTGACCATAAAAATATTTGCCAGGAACAAAATTATTTCAAAGAAGGAAGGGCGCCACATTTGCTTGTGAGGTTGTCAATAATGTAGCTCAAAATACCTTTCCCAGGAAGAAATTCGTACAAGAGCAGACCCCGTCGACTCCTCCTGAATATTCAAAGTAAAATACGACGTTTTACCCACCGCAGTTCTTCATTGTCAAAGCGTTAGCTTGCCATACCATCAGCACCACCAGAACAAAAGCAACCTTAATCCAAACCATGATTGGTACTTTCAGAAGTCTTCTTGTAAGTATTGCAGCAAAGCAAAGTTTATTAGTCGCCAGCGCTTACAACGCTTATAACCGTTGGATGTTAGTTCAGCCTTCACTAGGCTGGTCAAACCCTGGACAGATGAAATCACTTGTATGCAGACCAAGGCGTTATGTTTGGGCTGCTGAGCATAGTGCTTTTTATCAGCTGCATTTGTTTTGTAGATTTGTTCTCGCAAAAACTGCATGAAAAACAACTTTAATATCGACTATACTTTGGTATCGAGTCATTTTAAGTACAATAGTGTATACTAAGTATAATGCAGACAAAATATAATGTAGAACTACAAAATGATGGTAAAAACTATAAATATTGATGGTACTTACTTTTGAGACTTCCATGAGAACAATAAATATAAATGCAGTTTAGAAGATGACAAATTCCATGTGCAAAACATGAAGCTTGAAGGCAGGTCTCTTGTAACCGGCTTTTCAAAACTAAACTATGGCCCTGATTACATTAAGCGGATTATCCCGGTTGACCGGTCTCATTTCTGTTGCTTTGTGTCCCCCACGGAAAATATAACAAAATAAACCAGCCAGTTCAACCGGTCCAGCCGCTTCATATAAGCAGAACAATAAAGAAAGTTGTGTTCGTCGAATTGTGAAAACAGTTACTTGTAGTTAAGGCCTGAGAGTTTCACCTCATCAAAAGAAACATCGCAACAAACGTTCCTGAGGACAGATGCACATGCTCTATCGTTCGTGATAAGATAGTCAATGTAAGAGTACTTCTTTGTTAAAATATCTTGATTAAAAATCACAAAGAATTCCTCATAACTTTTGCTACACGTTTATCGATTATACCGTCAACAATAGCTTTCTTCTCTATTTCTCTTACGTCATTGCCGCCATGTTGAATGAATGTAACAAGACTTTCCTCATCAACTTCTGTTGTTCATGAATCCAACATGGAGGCGTATTGTTTTCTCAAGGGGAGCTTTGGTTATGCGTTAGAACCAAATAATATCAAACTTTCGATACTTTAGTTGAAAAACCACGCACTAAAAAACTTAATTAAGACGAGGGTTTGGGAAATAAAATCATTAACTAATGTTTCCTAGGAGCTTCCAGCTTCTTCTATTATTTTGTGCTTTGTAAATAAACCAGCGTGAAATTATGTATTTAGAATTAAAGAATTGCGTTTCGAATAAAACAATTATCAAATCACAACGTGCCAGTACTCTATTTATTTTTTGTCAGTATTATAATCACGCGAGCAGTATCTAGATTTTCATTGCTTTTGCCATGGCTTTGATCCCTTCAAAGGTCTCCAAACCAGTAGGAATGATTTGCGATGCTGGCAAAAGGAAGCCATGTGTTCCCTTGTCTCGTAGTTCTAAGGCAAACGAGTACTTGATGCCAAGAACGCCGTATGTATAGTCCTTGCTTCCCCCTGAGTTTTTATCTATAGATCATGCAAATTGTACTTTATTCACCGATTGTTCTTTCATGTTAGCTATGAAGTAGAGTCAACACTCATCCCTCCCAAAGACGAGCACGTTTGTATCCCCCTTTCGGAAAAAGGGGGATATATCTCCAGTATAAATACAAATTAACAAACAGAGTCGGCAAAGAAATAAAACAAAGGACTACATCATGTAATATCCATGTGATATTTTCATTTTTCAGGTGGATATTATCACTGACAAAATTTAGATAGCTTCACTGAAGTGCATCGTACGGCTAGCCAAGAAGTGTGCAACTTGATAGACAGTGAAATATTGCCCCCAGGGCTTGTTACACCCTTGGCGAATATCAGTGCATGTTTGACAGCGCATCAAAACAATGAGAACGCGAGTTGTATCAGAGTATGTTTGAACGGCTGATTTGAAAAGTTTCTGTCCGTTTTTGTATATCAAGTCAAAAGACGGTTGTAAAAAAATGTATATTGATTTTTCACACTCAATATATTATATTGATTTGTTTTAGATTATTAATAAATTAATGAAATAAATGCACGTTTTTACGTCTATACTGAGAGTCGTCGCCGAGTCTCCCTAGCCAGTGGCTATTGTTATGTATCAGACTGACGACAACTATATTGAGTGTTCTGGCACACAACACTCCTCACAGCTAGTTTTAAGATATTGCACTATATCATAATGACCCCACAGTATTTTTACATTGTGGAGAGATGCTCAGAAAGACTCGAAATTGGATCTATTAATATTCTTTCCGAAAGCAAAACTTTTAGTGTGTCGAGTTTTGATGTACATCATTTATCAATGATAGCTCAACCACATTTTATTTGATAATATGCAGTCACTCTGATAAGTCCCCTCTGGCGATATAGTCCTTAGCGTTAAAACAACAGAATGTTTTGGTGTGACGTATTTATGCGATAGGGCAATTCACACAATACTTACAGATGATGACAGACGAAGGTCCCACTTTGTAGTCTGTATTGTAGCCTGCATTACGAATGGCTGAAGCACCGATGTTACTGACACGCATCTGATATGACACATAATAAAAACAACACTAAAATGGCCACAAAAAAACTCTTAAAATGCAAAACTTTGCTATTTATACTGCGATATAACGCAACTGCAATGCCTGTTTTCTGACATTGGGGACGATCTTTATATTCCTTTGAGAAGTATAATGTGGATTAGAAAAACATAATTCGACATGAATGACGGGAAGTGATTTTTCATCTATCAAAGGAGCATGCATAACCATATTTATTGAAAATATTTGATATTGAGACGAATGCAGCCCAAAATATTCAATCAATTTGTGCTTCCACTCAAAAAGGCCGCATTCGATTCTTTCTTTTGTCGCTTATTCTTCCCTTCTTACTCAGATAGCGTTCTCATGGTTTATTCTATAGCTAGAAGCGAGGCGTCGAGTGAAGCACACTAGTGATTACGAGGTGGGCCTACTATGCTACTGGAATAGCTCTAAGGCTTACGGTAGGAAACTTATTATCTTTCCTTCATTAAAAAGACAAATTTTTTAATCTGTAGATTAAGATTGTAAAATAGGATGAAATTACTCTTTTTACTGTAGATATAAACGCGATGATAACTGAAATCAAATTGGTCACTTTCGAAGGAGCGCTCCGCCATGTTGGAAATCTTGGCAATGCGACAAAAACGTTTCTGATTGGCTACTTCGCATTGTAAGTGAGCAAGCAAGATCACCTGGTAGCGATAAGCTACAGTTTCAGTTGCCCTTCATGACGTAACTTACCAGTTCCTGATGATCAGGTGTTGGTGTAGTAGTATACCCCCATGGAATCATCCATAGCTGGCTATAGGCATGGATATCCATGTAACCTTTTACACGAGTTCCTAGTCGTTTTAAATAGTCAGCGACATTTTTAGTCTCGATTTCCGAGAAGGCGTGGGGACCACGGTAGGCGTCGTTGCAAGGGTYGGCACTAGCCCCAGGCTCTAACAACAAAAAATAAATATTTTATGAGAATGATGGAGAAATATCTGAATTCCCTCAGTTTTTGGCCCCAAAAGGTTGCATGCAATGTACCAAAGTGGAAAAAAGAGAAGAGAACAACTACGAATGATAAGAATTGTAATGGTATTCTTTCATTATGGCGTCTTTCTGTTGAAAGGTTATCGTATCAAAATGGCGGATGCTTATTAATTAAAAAGTGACTCACCTCCCCATTTAAAGTCCCAGTTTCTGTTGGGATCAGTCCCTACGCACCATGTGCCTTTGTTAGGTTTCATAGTTTTCCTCCAAAAACGATACTAAAACGAAAAACGAACAAACATGATAGTCTTTTCTTCAAGGTTCCCAGCGCCATCTCGAAAGGTAGCAGTGGCTTTGCATTGAAGCGAGACAACCGTTGGGCGTGCAATGATAGAAACCTACAGACAATTACTCGCAGGTATCTATCATTGCACGCTCAACGGTTGTCTTGCTTCGATGTAAGGCACGGCTACCTTTCAAGATGGTGCAGGGAACCGTGAAGGAGACTATTCTTTTGCCTTTTTACATGTGTTTGTCATTACATCCTTACCCTCGTCCACGTGTGTACATACCCATCGGGGTTAACCACAGGTACAATGACGAAGTCCATTTTATCCAAGATGGCAGTCACATCAGAGTCTTTACCATATCTCGACAGCAACTGAAAAAAGAGCACAAATTCTAATTAAAACGCAATATTTGTAATTCTTCATCATGACCGTACAGTTGGTAAAAAGAGGTTTTACTGCACTTAACTAGCGCGGAGGTCAACATTGATACTCGCTCTCGTTTCTAATGGAATGCTACAATATGTGAAATTTTAAAAATGCTTGTTGGCTGCGTGCAGCTTGTAGCTTTGCGCAATAACCGGACGTTTGGATTTAAGAAAGGTTGATATAGCGGGTGTCCATACCTGTTTGGCGATGTACATGCATGTGGCTTGTGATACCCATTCTCTTGCGTGAATACCACAATTCATGAAGAACACAGGCTTATTGGCACGTCTTTTGCCTTTAATCTTAAAATATAGAAAAATCTCAAATCTTATATGCTTCGAAGTATATCACATTTACATCAACGCTTAAACAAGAGGCCTCCCACGGGGGAGATTCGCAGACTGGCGAAAAAGGCTAGCATACATATCTCTTCGGCAGAAATTTGAGTATGGTGTAGGATGGAGGTGATCTCATTTAATGCTCTTCCAAACAATTCTCGCGCGACAAGATACCGCCAGTAAGCCTTTTTCCAGTTCAATGCGAGCAACCGCTGTTTTAGTAGAAAACAGACCCAGGACAGGACAAAAGAAAGCACGAAAAAAAGTTGACATTACAATAGCTCTAGAAATTTGAATCTTCTCCGATTTGAGGCTCAGCCTGAGCAAGAAGTTGAACCTTCTGGGAATACAGGCTTAGCGCTATTGTAATGACAACACTTTTTCGTACTTTGTTTTGTTTTAGGTCTCTGCGCTTGAGAGCCTGTTTTCAACAAAATCAGCGGTTGTTCACTTTGAACGTATTCAGTGCAAAGGAACTTTGACCTTCGCCGTTTTTATAAGAAATCCGTTATCCTGATATTAATACCATAATGCACCTCGCCAGAAGAGATATGACGTCATTAAAACGGAAATAAGCATTACCATAATAGCCTTCTGATCTTGTTGTAGATGTGACTTCCCCAGTGTGAATACCAATACGTTACCATTACGATAGTAGTCGCGAGCAAGTCTTTTAAGCTCGTCGTATATCTTTGGAAAATAAATTAAAAAAATAATAATAATTAAAAAACTGAAAAATCCGTACCAAATGGAATCCAAAACAAACTGACGATGATCATGAACGAGTTGAACTCATTCATTTAAACCGTTATCGCGACAAGATAACGTTAATTTTGCAAAGAAACTTCCTTTGTACATTTTACAAGATTTTACAATTTTCGATATGTGAAAATTGTTTAGTTGTCACATAAAAACTAGCATGCCAGCTTTCCAGCAACTAAAGTCTACAGTTGTCACATAAAAATTGGCCACTTTTGCTCATCTACACGTGCAATTAAAAATTGCCACATAAAAATTGTTTGTGTAGACGGGGCTTTATCAATACCATAATGCACCTCGCCAAAACATTAAATATGTCATCAAGGACAATAAGCATTAATGCCAAGTGACTGGCTCTGGCTCCAAGTGCCTTAGTCATGTGACCTGTATGAAATCAGCTCTCAGCGCGCTTTGCATAACATTTATTGCCATCATGACAATAAAATCAGTTAAATTAGTATCGAGTTCTTGCTAGTTTATAATTTAAAAAAAATTGTCAAACTAAACATCTAACTACCTCATTTAGAGGATGGTATTTTCCATACCAACTGACCGACGACCTCTTAGAATCATAGGAATTCTCGTTGTCAACAAGTCGTTGAACATCGAACATTTGAATTGTGAACTTGATGTGGCGTTTGTGAAGATACTGCGCAAGTTTCTTGTATACGTCATTTGACACGTGCATATCCACTGGAAGACCAACATGTGATGGCCACTTCCAGAATTCAATCTTGATTTATAAAAGAAAAAATGCCAAATACACAAACGTTTTGACACAAGTACAAATAAAAAAACGACAACAGCAAGAACAACAACAACACAACAAGAACGAACAACAAACGTGTGATGGCCATGCTCGGAGGATTTAACAATCTGGATTTTACATAATAAAAAAAAAAACACAACACAACACAACAAGTATAACAAAAACACACAGAAGATTTTTGTGAATTTTGTCACCATGAGTTCTTTGTTGGTCTGGAGGACGTTCAAATGTTCAAGTTCTTTTTCATTTTGAGGCACTACACGTATAACTTTATCCCTGTCGATAATGAACAAGTTATCAGAAACCTATAGGTATTCTTACCTCTTTTATCCATGTCTATGTAATTTTGTTCATGGCTATGTCCAATCATGCTGAAGTAAATCCGCATGCAAGTCATTCGTATTAAGAGACCAAGGAACCTTTAGCACTGAATCTCAACCCTTCTGGTTAAGTACCTAACGACTTTTGTCACGAAATATTCGCCTATTTGATAGTAACGTCTTCGATTTTATTTGATTATTGAAGTGCATTTTAAACTTAATTAAGATTTTCATGGAATGGTACTTTTTTTCCAGGCATGAATATCTAGATTTGTTCAATATGTTGTTTYTATAAGGTTGTAACTTACCCTTGGAACTGAGCGCTGACAACATTCAGAAGTGCTACAAGCACAAATGTAAGTGCCGCCATCCCGCAGCGAATTTTCTGGTCGAACAAGAAGATCGTGTTCTGAGGCAACAGTTTGTGTCTTTCTTGCTTTATCACGACAATGGACAGAATTGTCAACATTTGCTCTTCTTTATTCTGATTCTTTGATCAGCTTAACAGAGCAGGACGTGATTCTTTCAGGTTTCTTGATACAACAGCCAAATTTGTCAATATTTGATGACAGAAAGTATAGTCAACTTCTATGAAAAAGAGTCTTGGAAAAGACTGTCTTATTTTGCAATGTAGTGTATTCTAGTCCTAATGTGCTTGTTCTAATTTATTGTACAGATATGGTTGTGAGAAAGGCGCATTTTGTCGAAGAAAGTTTATATTTTTTGACAAATAAAAGGAAAAAGATATATGGTTTGTTGAGTCCCTTTTCTTGGTGTTCCTCGATCCAAGCTCTCCCTAACCTTTTCAGCGTGAGCAAAGCAGCAAGATGATGATGTACGCGAAAATACACCATGAGGTGTTGCAATAATGATGAGTGTAATGTCAAAGCAAAAGTCGAAGCAAACATGAATGTGCACTCTTTTGAGAAGATGGGATGAATTTGAAAGTTTTGGTACATATCTCAGTGTAGGAGGTATACAGGATACTAGAGTTGAGTGGTGCTCAGGAAATAACCAAGTTATAAGATCTTCTTATTTCTGCTTGTTTGTAGATTTATGCATTTCAAATTGCGCGCGCTCCATTAGTGTTTGTTTGTTCTTATTCGTGAACGTAACGAACTTTCTTTAGTGAACTGAAGATGTTTTTGAACGAAACTAGTTTTCACTGAATTTACTCTGTTTATTGTGTATGTTTTAGACTTATAGTATGGGTACTTCACCTTAAATATATTCCTACGATTATGAAAAAGTCTTTAGAAGTCAAACTTATCAAAATAATTTCAGACAAATTGAATTAGTTTAAGTAAATTAATAATTTAGGTCTTAACCTCATCTCCATGTTGCCCTCCTCCCCCTCGAATTACTATATTTTGTAGTTTCTAAGTCAACTTATCATTATATTGTATCATATTAACTTGACATTAACTGAGAATCTTTAAATTCCTTATATAATTTATTTAAGTTATAATTTATTGATTCGAGTCCCACTTTTCAAGATGGCGGACGCATTGTTCTCCGAAAGTATTGATGCATGTATATGGTCCACCTTTCTGGATTCTCACCCCTCTCTCCCTGATAACTATATCCCTTAGATGGAAGAATAGATTCCACTGGTGAATCGGCATTAACGAGTGGTATCGGTTCGTGAAGCCATAATCATTTTGACTGTAATCATTGTTTGAATTAAAACTGCTAAGGATCCAATATACTGTTGATAGAAGTCTTCATGAGTGACTTATCATGAATGTCTATTGAGTGATAAATATTTCGATTTTTATGCAAAATAAAAAAGCTGAAGTAGCTTGTAATGCGACCTTTGACAAGTGACTGCTATGGTAGGTTAGGAAAATAGGATTTTTACTGTCGAAGACGATGACTGGTACCAGTGGCCTTGTTGGAACTTTTGTCCTTGATGCCTCACTAGATCTCTAAATCCTTAGTGAACTTTTAGTATCATATCTAACGCGAGAACTTTCAATTATCACTTTGGTTTCATTATGAACGAATCATGTATGTATGATAGCAAATCCGGCAACTTATTTTCACTGGTAAATCATTTGATCGCTTGGTAGCTATCGACTTTCTATTAAAAAAGCATGTAACTAAAATATTACTTTTGATCATTGTTGTAACATTACGGGGAATACCGGCTCGCGGTTGTGACCGAGAGCGCACATTTCATTATGCAGACTGGGATTCCATGTTTTAATAATAAATTTTGACTCTTGAAGTCATTGAGAACTCATATAGATACGGGTGGAGTTTGCATTTTTACCAGTGGATCTATTTCTCTATGTTGGTCATGTATGGCCCCTTACAGAGACGAAACCAGATAGGTAAGGAATTACAACCTTAGTTGACTGAAACGTCCAAGAAATAAAGTCGTTTAGTTACACATACTTTTTTTCTAGAAAAATAGACTTGGTGTGTTTCCTCAAAAAGTTGTCATCAAATAATTTCAGTATATGTTTTTGTTTACGTTATTGTATTTTTCCAAAATGTATCATTTGTATTACTAAAACGGTTAAATTGCCTCGATTAGCCTTTGCTCTTGGCAGATCATAAGGGAAACGTTTGTAAATATTTGCTTATCAGCGTTTTGTGAGTTTTGACAAGACGTGTGACTAATTGCTCAATGCCAAAATCTAGCCGAGTTGTTTCTTAAAACTGGTTAACAGTCATGAAGAGGTAAAAATGAAGTAGTGATATATATTAAAGCTAAATGGTCTCAGAAAAAAAACCTACGAATTTATTAAATATCTCAGTAAAGAAAAGTCTAGACTATATAAGAATGGAGTCACCTTACACCTAGTCAAACCCTGGCAAAAGTTTGTATGAACAGTTTTGAAAGATTTCTCAAAGTTATGATATAAAGGACTTGCACTGCACACAAMACCTTGAAGATGACTGCACGTTTGTTTATCCAGGTAGCCAAGCTGCCCAAAGATTAACAACCATGCATGTTCCTTTAACAACCATGAAGATCAACTCTACTGAAAGATTCCTGCTGAACTTCAAGATGGCAGCACTGTGGTTGGTGATGCTGATGCTTGTGGCAGCAAGCTATGGACACCACGACAAGCCTTTTAGAGGGTAATTCTTTGCAGACATTATTAGTGACACCAATTATCTCTTCAAAAAAGGCTACGTAACTGTTATTCCAATGTATTTAGTTTTATTCAAGAAATTTCGCTCGAACTGAAAGCATTTTTTGTTGTTGAAGATACGGTATAAAAAGCTTTCCCAAATTCTTAAGTAAAAAAATATTATAGTTTGTCTTAAAGGTGTAATTTCTTTATGTCGCAACCTCAATCTAGAAGTGTCTACCTAGCTTTTACTTGAGCTTTGTATACGCGTTTTAATTTGAAGATCTTCTTAGCTTTGTATATAAGCATGTTCATCGCTTCGCAAAAGACCTGCGCTATAATATTTTTATTCATATGAATGTTAAAAAAACTTCGAAAATGTATTGGTGTGTAACATGTTTTGATGATTTTCCTTTAGAGACAAAGTGATCCGAGTCACTCCAAAAGATGAATCACAGCTTACTGCTGTACAACAACTGGAAGACCATCCAACAATCAAAGTAAGTAAAGATATCCTATATATAAATAGAATAAATGAAGAAAAAGCCACGCAACTTGTAACTAGGTTTTCTACTTTTTAATGAACGTTTCGGCACTTCGGCCTTCTTCAGCAAACTATATATACTATATATATACTATACAGCCCTTTGCAAAAATTATGAGAATTGTCTAAATATCTAAATATCATAATATCCATATCCATATATTGTCCGGAACACGCGGTTTTGCTAGAATAATTCATTGTTGACATCGAGAAAATGCTCAGAACTACGGATAAGTCTGTCGCCAAAAAAAAACTAAACTACAAAGACAAGGGACTAAGGGCATCGCGCGGGATTACCCATCATGCACTCGATATTATGATATTTAGATATTTCAACAATTCTCATAATTTTTGCAAAAGGCTGTATACTATATATATATATAGTATATCAAACTCGGGGACCTAGGCCTGGTCGTCTGATCCATCGCCCATTCCTCGCTCCCCATGCAAGAAACATCCTTATTTGGTCGAAAAGTGATTGAATATCAATGACAATGCAAGGCTCGAACTAAAAGAGAAATGCTAGATCTCCAAGCACCAAAAATAATTTGTTCAGTCGAGCCAATTCTTAGATGTCCAACAGACATTTAATTTCCGGATCAACAAAACTTGTTTAACGCTTTTCAATACACCTATATGCAAAACTAATCGTTTTAGAAACAGTTTTATTATAAGCTATTCATCTTAACTTTTTGTATATACTAATTCCTTTATAATTCAGTGAATCTACGATATTTATCTTTTAAGTATTTATGTATATCTATTTTATTATAATACTTTTTAATATTCTAATATTATTCTTTATCTATTTCATTATATATTGTAAATTTTAACACGCAATTCAGTCGTAAGACTGCAAAGTGTTTTATTTAATAAACGATATTCTTCTTCTTCTTCTTTAAACATCATTAAAAGGCAGCATATAGTTCGTTTTATGCGTAGTATGGAAGGGGCGTATTGATCCAAGGACTCTCTCGTGATGTAATACTTATTAATTATCAATTAAAGGTCAGTTTCTGGAAAGAAGCCATGAGACCAGGAATGTTTGCTGACATTCATGTTCCCGCCAAGTACTATGGCAGACTCGCCAAGTACCTTAACAACAACGGCGTCGAGTTTGTCATCCAAATGTTTGATGTCCAACATGAAGTCGATATGGAGGAGATCAACCTTGGTAGATCTGGAGGATTCTTTTCTAGATACCAAAGGCTCAACGAGGTGAGTGCAATGGAAGGAGCATTTTCTAGGGCTCGCCCGCCTAAAACTGCAACGTTGGCAGTGTACTGCTCACTTACTGCAGATGCAGAACGGATGGAGAGTGAGCTCTAACTTATATAGCATCGAAGCTATGGAATATGTTATGCAGTCTTCTAAATCACTAAGAGACACTGCGATCACGTTAAAAAATCTTTGGTAAAACTCCTTTGTTAAAATTTATACCTTTTCTCTCTAGAACTGGATGCACGTTTGATTGAATAGGGGAGTAACAGGGTATCAGAGTTTTAGATTTTTAATCGGGATCAATGTCTAGGAAACAAGATTACATAAATTATACAGAGATTAGCAGGTTTAAGGGATCAAAATTGTCATTATTTTGTGACATTTCGTCCATCGATAAATCTTGATGTTAGTGAGTTTTATTTAGATCGTAGATGAAATGAGAAGATTGGCAAGTCAGCCATCGCAAGCCCAAGTGAACATGAGAAGCGTTGGCAATTCATATGAAAATCGTCCACAGTATTATTTGGAGGTATATAATGTCCACCAACCCTACCAAATTAATCAAAACTAACTGACTTTCCATTCTACGAAACAGTTAATTTCATCAATAAAATACAATTCTACGCAAACGTCCTAAACTACACCAGTGGCGGAACGTTAAGGCCGATTTAGACGGTACAACTTTTGTTTACAACTATCGCATGCGACCTGCGTAAGTCATCCCTACAACATGGCTACAACTGTCGTATGGCTATTAACCATTTGTTTGAAATCCCTACGACAGTTGTAGCTGTGTTGTAAGGATGACTTACGCAGGTTGCATGCGATGGTTGTAGGCAAAAGTTGTGCCGTCTAAATCGGCCTTTACAAAGGTTCAGATGGGTTTATTTCAAAAACCCATAAACATATTACATGCACAGCACCAACCCACTAGACCATCAACCAAAACATTCAAATAAATATTCAAGCAACGTTCACTTTCAGATCAAAGGGAGATCTTCATATCAGAAGCCAGTGTTCTTCATGAATTGTGGCATCCATTCCAGGGAGTGGATCACTCCAGCGTCTTGTATGTACATCATAAGTCAGGTACAGAATGTGTAAAATGAGTTAAGGATATTTTGCATGAGCCGTTGGCAATGTACTGTGCGCAGATGCAGAACGGATGCAGAAAGAGCTGTATGAAATAAGTAGTGCAGTCTTCAAAATCACATAAGAGACATGTCGATCACTTTAAAAAGATTTTGATAAAAAACCTTTTCTTTAACATCTATACATTTCGCCCTTTGTGAAGAAGAGTTCCATCATATTCAATGTTTTTAAGTTTATACTATCTTTATCGCAATATAATTGTTATTTCATCTGTATTGTATAAAAAGTATACCATAAGTGTGGTTATCCTTAATGATTGATTCTAGCTTTTGACTATATTTCATCTTTCTAGTTCGTGAACAAGTATGGAAAGGACAACAGTGTAACACAAGTGCTGGATAAAATGGACTTTATCATCATGCCTGTTCTGAATGTCGACGGCTATGAGTACACATGGAAAGGGGTGAGAAAATTACGGCTAAGCCATGTTTTTCATATTCACTATCTTCATCATATTTCTCGTTATATTACATTTAAAATGGCAGACAGGACAGCCCAAATCTTTCTAGTTTGTATTTAGAGATCAGAGAGAAAGTCTAACATGATGTATAACAACACCTTAATTTACTGTTTATAATAAAGAGCTCAAGACAGTATCGATTTTGGCGAAAGACAAGAAAGCCCAGTGGTAATGCTGGTGGTGGTTGGTGGCAGCCCTCGCGACGATGTATGGGAACAGACCCCAACAGAAACTGGGGCCACAAGTGGGGACGTGAGTAGTGAATCAATGCAATTTTTCTTATTACGTTTCATATATAGAAATATTGTCAATTAGTACAATGTACAGATTTCAACAAGCAAAGAAGACCATGACAACAGAGATCTACAACAACCTTTCTACACTACCAACCATGTCCAACCCAATCCAAATCCTGTAAAAATATCAGCTAAAAAGGAAGCTGCATTGGACATTTACACACATAGCCAAGATACTTTGATCAAATCGAAATCAGAATAAACTCAGCTCAGCTAGTTGTCACGGCAAATCTCTGACCCGGACTAACGCGATGCAAGATCAACCCAGCACCACTCAGTTCTATTCCTCCTCCTACCAACGACACTGGATTAATGTCGATGGCCGTATCGATATCAAGCTCTATCCAATTTAATATACAATTCTCATTTTCAGTTCCTGGGGCTAGCAGCAACCCATGCAGTGACACTTACAGAGGCTCAAGTGCATTCTCTGAAATTGAGACAAGGAATGTTGCAGACTTCATGAAACGTTTGGGTCAACGACTGAAGGGATACATGGACATCCATGCTTACAGTCAGTTGTGGATGATTCCATGGGGCTACACGAAGACACCAACCAAAGACCATCGAGAATTGGTAAAAAACATTTTATTTTTTAATAGTGTCTTAAACAGGGTCAGGATTTTAGACCGCTGGCGGCACGTACCTATCCAAAACGGGGTCGAGTACCCCCCCTATCTGGAAATTGTAAATGTGAGGTATGCACAGATAATGCCAAAAAGGTGGCCAGCACAACGAAGAACAATATAATTTAATATCACATAATGCGCGGATAGTGGTCGATCTGAGATCTCTACCATATATTCAGTTGTTATAAACATGCTTAAACAACAATAAAAATAAATCACAAGAATTATCGGTTCAAGTTTGATAAATATCCTTTTACAAATTTGGGAAAACTTACAATTTCAATCTAAATTATCGACGTAATTAATTTATTAAATAGGATCAAAATTTTGGAAAAAAGGTTGGGTTGTCAATGACAAAGTATGAACTATATTGTTATTCAAACAGATGAGAGTTTCGAAGGCTGGCGTCGATGCTATCCGTAATAGTGGATACGGTACACAATATCGCTATGGCTCGTCATCGGTTATCATTTGTAAGTATACGGTAGTCTACTATACCATGGCTGTTTATCTTTCGGGAACTATGCAACTTTTTAAAATTAAAAATGTAAAATGAAAAACAAAAAATGTAAAATGATCACTGCAGCTTGATGAAACTATAATTCAATATACTAAATGTTCATATAATTCCTGCTTTATAATTCTGCTTATTTATTACATCGATATTGAATATAACCAGAACGAATGGTCGATGTCAAGTGTAAACTGTCTCGATGTGGGCAAGGAAATCCATTTACCTTAATGACAACCAAGAAACAAACATAAACTTTTTTATACGGAAATGCACATACCGCGGCTGAAGTGTGAATCATTGCCTCTGTAATCCTAAATGTGTTACAAGAAAGTTCAAACTTTTGGATTTTCACTAAACATTTTTAAATTGCAGCTAGGAAGAGTCATAATAAAAACTGAACAAAAGTATTTTTTCACTAGCTTAAGTTTTTAATGAGAACGCAGACGTTTCGGTCAAAACTCTGACCTTCCTCAGTGCGTTGTAACAAATGGTTTGCAAGCGTAAGTTAACGGGTTGAAAAAGTATTTTAAATTAGCGCGCGCGATTTTTACAAGAATTTATGATTGTTCTGTAAGCTACGGGTATCACAGTTCTAAAATTTCCCGAGTTACAGTCGAGCTCAGAAAACCAAGCTTCTAAAAAGAGTCTTTTGTGATAATTTGGTTCCGACTGAACGATTCTGGCATTGTCAAAGTCCATGGAGTGACCTGAAGTGTTAGAATGTTCAGCAATTTTTGAGAAAGGAGCACTATTTTGGATTTTCAGTTATAATCTATTATTTATGATTATTATTTGTAATCTGATTATTATCTGTAATACTAAATGTGTTACAAGAAAGTTCAAACTCTTGATTTTCTGTAATAATATTTTATTTATGAATATTATGATTATTATGTGCATTTCAATACATTGTGCAATTAAGTTTTCGGGATCTATACAATTGTTCAAAATATACCGAAACGAGTTCATTTTTGATTTCAGACGCAAATTCAGGTGGAAGTAAAGACTACACTTATGGTGAACTTGGTGTCAAGTACTCCTTCGCCCTCGAGTTGCGGGACACGGGACGTTACGGATTCCTTCTTCCACCACAACAAATCATTCCTACTTGCATTGAAACCTTTAACGGAATAATCGCAATGGCACAAGAAATGCGGATTTAGTCAATAGCGAGAATCAAATAAAGTTGACTTGAAAAAACAACTTTCTCGAAGGTTATTGTGTAGTCGTGATTTTATTTCTCTTTGACAAAGATGTAACAAGAGATTTGCAGACATTAACAATTGTGTCTTAAAAAAGCATGCCTTTTTAAAATTACTAGAAATGTTTCATCCTGTAGACCCAGTATTTAGGGCCCTATAAAGTGGATATTGAAAATAATCTATGGAATGTGGTTTTTGATACTTTTTTTATATCCTATGATCACTTAAGTTTCTGCAATTTTTGTTTTACAATAGGTTCCTACATCTAAGACGAATCGAGTAATCAGTGCCGTAAAACTAAACGAAAGATATGTCGGATCTCAAATCGGAATCATCATACACCATCAAACAAGATGACCGATATCCAGGAACTGCCTTCAAAAAAAGGTCATTCGTTTAGAAGCAACGGCTGGCAAGTTTCATTGTGTGAAAATAAGAGTGGACTTGTTTTTGCTTTTTTTTCGGTTTAAAAGTATTTAATCATTCGAAACTTTTGATATTTTAACAAACAAAATTCTCCGAGATCGGGCATCTTGTTTGTTCTGTTTGTTCTTACACGTGGCATAGATTTGTTGAATTGAGCTGCAATTGCCCCATACTAAAAACCACATTAGGATGCTACAGAAGTCGATTTATTGATATGCTTCATATAGCTATTTCAAAAAAGGTTGTCGGATAAAATGGCGAATGTCAATGGTCGATCGGCAATTGCACGACCGAAAGTAGCGATGGCTTTTGCAAGTTGAAGGGCAATAACAACTGATTTATACTGTAAGATGGTCTGTGGTAAACATTGGTTCCATTTAGTCACCATTTCTATAGAAGGTCAATCCAATAAGTAAAATTATGTATATCAAAGCACTGTAACGATGGTCCCTTTCGGTCGTGCAATCTCCCTTCGACAATCGCCGTTCGCCGTTCTTCCCGACAACGTTTTTTTAAATAGCTGTATATCTTGAATCGCCGAAGGATGTTTGATTATTTTTGTTAATCAAAAGCAACGTTTTCTTGTTTTCCAGTGCTTAAAGTGAAAAGATAAGCAATCCGTACAAGAAAGTATTTGTGTGGTTATATATTTACAGTGCTAAAAAAATAAGATAGACAAGTTTTAGCTTAATGAGTGCTTACCAAAGTACATCTCTTTGTCTATTGATATGCTTCATATAGCTATTTCAAAAAAGGTTGTCGGATAAAATGGCGAATGTCAATGGTCGATCGGCAATTGCACGACCGAAAGTAGCGATGGCTTTTGCAAGTTGAAGGGCAATAACAACTGATTTATACTGTAAGATGGTCTGTGGTAAACATTGGTTCCATTTAGTCACCATTTCTATAGAAGGTCAATCCAATAAGTRAAATTRTGTATATCAAAGCACTGTAACGATGGTCCCTTTCGGTCGTGCAATCTCCCTTCGACAATCGCYGTTCGCCGTTCTTCCCGACAACGTTTTTTTAAATAGCTGTATATCTTGAATCGCCGAAGGATGTTCGATTATGTTTGTTAATCAAAAGCAACGTTTTCTTGTTTTCCAGTGCTTAAAGTGAAAAGATAAGCAATCCGTACAAGAAAGTATTTGTGTGGTTATATATTTACAGTGCTAAAAAAATAAGATAGACAAGTTTTAGCTTAATGAGTGCTTACCAAAGTATATCTCTTTGACTTTTGAATACCATAAAGCAAAATTATCTACCGCCCGCCAGCAGGAGATGTTTCACTGTACAAAAGCTAAGAACGAGAAGTAGAAGGCGAAGAAGACAAAGAAGAAAAGAAAAAAAAAAAAAGAAGAAGATGATGATGACGATTAAGAAGAAGAAAAGGAAGAAAGAAAAAAAAAAGAAAAGGAAAATACAGAGTAAAAAAACTATCAAGAAAAGTGAACAGTTAAAAACAAATGGAGTTAAGAAAAAAGTAGTTGAAACTAAGGTGCAATACGGAACCTTTAAAAAAAAAAAGAAAAAAAAAGACATATCGTTAGACAATAAATATTGTATACTGTTAAAAAAAATAAGAATTAAAATTCTTAGAATCAGCAAAATTTCCTTGTTCAAAAGAAAAAGTGGGAAAAAGAAAGAAAATACAGGACTCAGCTGCAAGAAGGATGGATGAAGTTATCAATTTTGAAATAAAATGCACGGGCTTTTAAAATCTTGTCCATGGATAAGGGTTCATTCACCAGGTAGACAGCACTGTGTACTCTTCGTAAAACTGACTTCGGATGATGGTGGTAAAAAAAAATGCAGATAAAGCATTCAATAATAATGATAATAATAATATGCCTATTCCCCTTACATATTTCTTCTCCGGGTGGCTTTTCGTCATCTTGAAATAATAACTGCTTAGAAAAAAAAGTAATATTTCAGATTAGAAATCAAGACAAGGAGAAATCCAGCTGACTATAAAAAGTGTAAAACCATTCCAAAGTGTTCATCGTGACTTACCATCCCACTAGCTCCTAAAAAAAATTCTTCTGGTGGTCGTTCCTCTAGCTCATAAATGGGATTGGTGAAATCAGTATGCTCTGTAAAAGGCTGTTGATGCAGAAAATACCAAAAGTAAATCACGAAAGTGAAAAAAAGTAAGGTCCATTACGCAGACATAATACATCACATAAACAAATAGTCTATAAAAAAAAGATGCCCTGAGAATGACCTCTCAGTCAGAGCAAGAGCAAGAAAGAATGTCAACCTTCATGAAACAAGGTGTATACTACCGGTGGTAAAGATTTGTCACCATGGACTTCAATCCGATCTGGACCTGGTTCAGAAACATCATACATGGGGTTGTTGTAAGACAAAGACGGAGGATTTTCTTGAAATACGTCGCTATCGTACTGGACAGTATCATTCTCCTTGAAAAAAAATGAGAAAATGACTTATTAATTGATTCACAGTGGTTTCCATTCATACACGACTTCAGATTAAACTTGACAACTACAATTAGCAATGGACTGGCTCTTGTTTGAAATTTTTAAATAATTGCAGTTCACGACTAATTGCATTGTCTCGACCATTCGGGTAGCAGTGCAAAAAAAGATAACAGTGTATGAGTGTATTTCAAAACAAACAAATATGTTTGTCAAATAAACGTTTTAAATATGAATTGTATAAAATTTAGTAATGAAGCATTTCTCGCTGGCAATTCTGTCTTGAAGTTACCTTTTTATATCTAAACGCTGAGTTAGGAAGCAAGGCTCTTTTCCTCAGGAACCAAATTACTCCAGCTATGATTGCTATCAATATCAAAACAGTAATGACAATTCCTGCAACTGCACCACCGCTTACTCCTTTATCCTAAATAAAGAAAAATAAAAAAAAAACCATGCAAAATCTATGAGTTTGAGAAGTTTATCCACCCTTTTTGCGAACGGTCCCAAGCGGTAAGAGTGTCGATCTTACCTTTCCATGTCTACCCAAGACGCCAGGCTGAGAATACAAGCAAAAGAATACAAATCATTGGTATATTTTTCTAAAAGGTTTCTAGTCATGTTAAATGAGAAGCAAAAATGCAAATTTATATAATATATAGTTTTTGAATCATTAATATAAATCAAGTCATCATATTGATATTGGAGGGCTTTTTCTCTATTATTAAACATTTCAAGAAGATTTCATCGTTCGAATGCACAAGCATTTGGTGTTCCCAGTCCATTTGCAATAAACTGTGCCTCATGTTCCGTGGTACTAACCAAACGCTCAATAACCAAAATATAAAAAAAAATTTGAACGAAAGCAAAACAAACAAAACTTGAAATGGGTTAAATAGAAATAAAGTCGACTGTTTTGATGATTTCAATTACATAGAGTACCTTAGCAGTGGAGTTAGAAGTCTTTGTGTTAGTCGTCTGTGCATAAAACAAGAAAATACGTTGTGAGGACAATTCTTAACTCACTAACTTCATATCGACATTCATCTAAAATATATTGCTAAATCACGACCTTTCTCCATAAATCAACCAAACACGCTACAGCATCTGTTATGTTTGCGAATTCTCAGAAAAAAAGCATGCTCATGCATATTTCAATCGCCAAGTGGAAATAATAATGATAAAAAAAAAAAATTTGTATGTCAATTGTTTCACTTTTGATTTAGACTTTTGCAAGAATTCTAAAAAAAAAACCCCTGTAGGTTCTTTGGTTCTACTGGAAGGTCTTGCTGATGGAAATTAAAAAAATGAAGTTCTGGGAGGTTTTGTGGATGGCTTGGTTGGTATTGACGATGGGAAAAAAAATTGTGAAGTTCTGGGCGCCTCTGTCGTTGAAGGTGATGTTGGTGGCAGTGAAAAAAACGATGATGATGATGATGTCGTTGTTGCTGATGATGATGGAGATGACGATGAAAAAAACGCTGTTGTTGTTGCTGGCGATGTTGACGACGGTGGTGCAGTTGGGATCAAAAAAAATTGGCCAACAATCTACAAATACAAAAGTATATTCCAAGGAGGTTTCTGACAACGTACCCACTTTGATATCTATCACTTTTGAACGAAATCACATAAAGATGTTGAGTTGGAAATCTATACATACCGGGATAACTTGATCTACAATGTAAATGAGTCCATTTGTTGCTTTCATGTCTCCAAGTACATGAGCAACGCCGTTGATGGTTAATATTCCCTACAACGACAAGACGTTTGTCAATGAAAGTTCATCTTTTACTGATGTCCTATCAATGGTCATTAAAAAAATATGAGATGCAATTGTGAACTACACTGATATTCTACTCTAGAATATCTTAAGTCCAATGTTGTTACTGTGTTATATATATATTTTTAGAGACAAGCTACCAAAGGAACGATATCCAACAATTATCGTGAAGACATTTGTCAGATTTTCGCATTATTCAAACAACAAAAAAATAAAACAACTTGCATAGTAATTCACCGGGTAAGATTATATCTACTCCCTATAATTCAATTACAATTTTTTTCCCAGACAAGGATATACCAAGTGGATATCACTTTTCACCGTTTATACAACCGGCATCAAATTTCCGAAAACCTTTTTCGTCTCAGCCAGTCTAACGCTGGTCTCTGCACTGATATGTTGAACGTATGAAGGACATGAAAACATAACTTACAAAAAAAAGTTTACGAATCATAATCTTGGTACCCAGGAGATTGGTTGCTGTGTAGACATCATTAATAGTTGAAAGTACTATTCGTCCTGATATAATGAAGTTCTTGGCTAGAGTTATGTTGAGATCCTGTCCAAGAAACAAGGATGACAATGTCATTGTCATTGAATTTGTAAAAAAAAAGAGAGAAATGGTGGAGAAAATGGTGGAGAATATGGTGGAGAATRTGGTAAAAAAATAACAATGCTTTGCTTCGTAAATGTATCAAGAAATACAATATGAAATCCAAAAAAAATCAAAGGGGTAGCAATCTTCACAACCTCTTCCCTAGAGCTACGGCAAAACAAAAAAAATTTAATACCAGATAGCTGTGTAATTACCTTTATTCTCAGTGCGCTGTTGATTGGTGCGAAGACTGTAACGTAATTCGAATCAATTTGTAGAGAGGAAAACAACGACTGCCCTTGGTTAGTATTTCCGAGATGATACAACGCCTGCGGAAATAAATAAACAAAAAATGCCTTCAATCGTTTAGAGGTGAGAAGTCTAACTGCAGAATGGTTGTACAAATTGAAAAAAAACTTAAACTTCATGATCAAGAATCTTCAAGTGCATCCCGATACTTTGCTTAAAAAAAAAAATGTTCTTTTAGTTGACTGTTTGAATTATCTTTTCTACACATTCTAGTCTAAATGCGAGACTGGAGGATTTGCCTCTCCGTTCGTACATTGCTTTATTGGTGTGAAAAAAACAGCTAGAATCAGTCTAATTTGTTTACCTTGTAGAAGTTTTGCACTTTAACTGTATTTTGAAGTGTCTAGAAAAATAGAACCACATGTTTTGGCTTGTTAGCAATTTTGCAAATTTTCCAGTGCGAATTGTTACACTCCTCATATACCATGAGCAAACACTCGCCGACTATTTGCTCCATATATAAGTATAATTGAATTACATTAAATGGTGGACAGACAGAAAAAAATCTAACCTGAAGAATATTTCCATTACAGACGTAGCCATTACCAATATATGACTCCCAGCAAGTACACGCGGCAGTACCATCTACAAGATAAATAGAAGATATTACATGGGCGGGCGGAGATAGGGATTTTATCTTCGAGTGTTAAAAAGATAGAGATTTTGAGAGAGAACACGAGAAGATAAAATTCGTATCTCCAAGCGACCATGTAATATTCTGTTTATCATATAATTGCATGTGAAAGCAAATTATGTCGTAAAATACCTTTTTTCTTACTTCCACTATATAGAGAAACCTCGAATGTGTAATTTGCACTTCTAGTGAAAATAACAACTTTATGAAATGGAGAAATATAGGTATTTCATAGATAATTATACGATAAAGACTTATTTTAACTCTTCATAATTAATTTATGCCGATAAGGTATATGACTTACTACTATCTTTACAGTAAAAAAAATCTGAGCAGCTTCCATGATTGACAGCACATGGCGATGACGACACAAACCCTTCACAGCGATCCAATACTTGGTGGAATCCTTGCTTGCACTGGCATCGTCTCTGACCAAAAAAAGATAAAGAAATTGTAGAATTATAGAATCACGAGGCAATACACTACTGTACAAAAAAACGGACACCTTTGGGAGGGAATAAGTGGCCACAAATAGCGAGCGTCCGCTTTAAAAGGGATTATTTTTCAGTAATTTCTTTGTAGCAGGATTATCTAAGCGTTCTTAGAAAAAAAGAATACGGGGATGCAACGGTAGCTGTTAACAACGTGGCCCATTTTAAAAGAAAAAAATGTCTTGCATTACTCACGGGCCCCTTGAAGTGGCACGTTGCATTGATACCAAAAAAACCATTGTTCACGGTACACAGGTCTTCCATTTGACAATAAAAACCATYGCCAAAAAAACCTGGCTTACACTTGCACTTCACGTGACCAGTTGAATTGGAGCACGTGGCAAACACGTGACATCCTCCGTTGTTTACAGAGCATGGACTGGTAACTAGTGGTGAATAAAAAAAATAAAATCAAATTTTGGTTGATTTCAAACGGTTCTAATGATATCCTACACATCACTTGATAAGTCCAGCTCTTAATAGCTGAGGAATAAATACGAGGCGTCGTGCATAAAACTCAGTCATTCTTGAAAGGACAACTCAGGGTTTGTGCTACATTTTCACTACAAAAAAAAAAGACTTTTCATGTACTTTTTCAGCGCAAAAGTGCGATTCTCAAGAACTATTAAAAAAAATATTTTTTTGATGTTTGCGAACATTTCCATTGGCAAGCTTTCAAAAATAAAAAAAATCCAATCCAGAAGCTAAAATACAACTTGTCAATTTCTGATTAGATTAAAGAAAAAAACCAGGAGTTTTAGCGATTTTCCCAATTTCCAAGGTCTTTTCAAGCGCCCTTAAAAAGAAATTTTCAATTCCAGGACCTTTCAAAGATTTCAAGAAGTACCACGAACCCTGACTACAACTGTTTTTCACAACTGATTGAGCTTTCAACTGGCGCCTCGTTATATCAAAAAAACCAACTTATCAAATCAAAATATCATTGTTATATAATCCTAACCTTGACAAAAAAAAATGACTGTGCATCTTTCACAAGTTGTTCCATTGAAACCTTCTCTACAGCTACATCGACCACTCCCTGTCAATCCATCGTCACACTGACCACGCCTACTACACGTCATACCTAAACCACCAGGGCATGCTGGGAAGATAATATACGAACAATCCATAATAAGATTAAAAAAAACTTTCTTCGATCAAGTAGCAACTTAAACTAAACTTACCTCTACAATCAGAGCCATAAAAGTTTGGACAGCACTTACGATGGATTTTACGTTTCATGCAAATATGCTGACAGCCAAGGAAACCATTATCATATGAACAGTTATAGTTTGTAGTTCCCTGCATAAAATAAAATATTTATTGTCAAAGACAGTGTTGCTGGAGGTCTGAGAATCCGAGCCTATTAAAAAAATACTTACAACAAGTGTTGATTCATGTGGACAGCCTTCAGGAGATAGACAGCTACTACAACGACCCTGAGATGTCAAAATGTTTATTAGTATAACACATTACATTATAAAAAAAAACCAAAAGCGTGAAAAAGTACTAATTAATAGTACTAAATAGCGCAAAACAGTGTAGATTTGACAAATGACAATAATGATAATCGAGTACAAATAGCATCATTTAATTACTAAAGTGTTTCATTGTTTTAGTGTCTATTTGTACTCGATTGTACGTTCAATTATTAAAATTTAGCATATTCGGGTTTCCTGTGCGTACAACAGCTGTAACATCTTGACAAACAAAAAAATGATCCCGCGAGTCAAAAACCATGACGTAATAATACCACAGGTAACCCGCATTTTGCCAAGAGCGCGTGCCGATAACAATACTAGCGTAAAAGCGTGCGCATTCGTTAAAAAAATCTCTCAAGCAATAGTTGGGCGGTATATATGGACAAACCTTAATCTTGCAAAAAAAAGGAATTGTTAGTAAGGTACCCTAGTAGTAAAGGCTGCACCAACAAATCATACTTATTTTGAGGAGGGTAAAAATGTGAGGAGAAAATAATTATATTCAGTATTTTTTGAGGAGGTAGTTAATTTATTCACACTAATGACGTAACCTATTGTTCTCCTAAACAAAAGAGAGAGTTATAAAACAGCACTTACAATGTAAGCTTTTCTATCATTTACATTTAAACGGTTGAATATTTATGCTGCAATGAATAGAATTCAGATTGACATAGTATTAGCTGCATAGTTGGGCCCGGATTTTTTGTGGGATTTGTGGAAAAAATCTGTGTGCTCATGAATAAAAAAAAGTTAATATATTCAATATTTTTGTGGGCTATTACATATTCATTTTTGTGTGAAAAAAACTTAATCCCCGAACAATAGTCCTTTTGT